AAAGTTGCACTTCCTTGCTTGCTCCTTTTGTAAGATTTCAATTTGTGGGAGAGAAAGTGAATGATTAGGATGTTAGAATAAAATGAGGCTGCAATTAGGTGCACAAAAAGGGGGTGGGCCGGAATCCATGGGCAAAAGGACTTCTGGTCTATAATCTCAGTTTCCAGCCATTACGACTAGGTCATTAAGGGAGTCAAATCAGGTAACTTGCTTATTAGATGCCTTCAGTTTAGTCCATCACTAGCACATATTCACATACACACTTAAGCACACATTACCTTCTGTGTCTTGCATATTTGCCACTAACATGACCACTGCCATCACAGCCAGGAGTAGGGCAGCTATAAAAAAAATGAATTAATTATAAAGGTTTCTATGTGCTGCATAGAGATTATATTAAATGCAGGCAGTAGGTGTTACAGAGATGGAGGGCAACAAAGAGAGAAAAAGAGAAATCAAATAACTGAAGGGAAAAGGGAGGAGGGAATGCTTTTTATTAGCAAATCCCAGGGGAATTAATTTCATCAGTGCAGCAGGGCATGAGCAAGCCACCAATGAACTTGAAAGTGCATTATACCCATTAAAAGGCATGAATTTTCTAAATTGCTAATGGGGATACATTTTACACTCAGCGCACTAACCTGAACAGCTCTTGTATGGCTGGTTCCACGGGAACTGCAGAGAGATGGAAAATATATAAAAATTTATCATCTATTACAAGTACTCCCCCTTCTGCTGAAAATTGCCCAAAAAGGCTGTAAAAAAGCAAGGGTCACAATGCATCATGCAAAGAGATTCTAGAGGATGAAGGTCACCCTGAGCAGGGGCCTTGAGTGATTTACTGAAGCAAGAGACATACCTCGAACACCTTTGGACCGTGTGCGATGGCGCTTCTCGTCTGCCTCCACCTCCATCTGGGAATAGATTAGCAGGCAGTCAATGCTCTTATCCTGCATGCACAGACTATCAATGCACAGACAGATACAGTCTCTCATACACAATTTATTGACAATATTTTAATTCCATTTTATCCTGCAAGTGAACAGACTGCATGGAAGGGAATTTTTTTTAAAGGCTCCCTATATTTGTTTAAAAACAAAAACCCACACAATAATTTTTTATTTTAACTATGTGTGCTCTCTTTCAAAAATGTTTTATGTATTTTTTTGAAAAAGGACATTAGGATTCTTTAACGGCAACCCAATACCGGTGGAATATAACTGATTTTTTGCAACATGAAACTGAGGTCAGGTACTCTAGCATACTGTACTGGGAGACTTTCAAAAGAGATTTTTTTTAGGCAAAAGAAGAAGGGAGAAACATAATAGGATATTAAGTTTGATATATATCGTCTGGGTTTTTACTGTAGAAAAAAGAATGGATCTATCCCACTATGTAAATATCTAAATAAATTATTCTTATGTATCTACGCATTGCAAGTAATTTAAAAATAACATGCTTTTCCATTTAGAATTTAGAGAAAATCTAAAGGTTTTTCTCCTTCTGTTTAGAAATCCCACTCATCACAAATATCAGTACTATATTTTTATCAGTGTAAAACTGTATGACCAGGTTACTGGAATAAACCACAAAGCAGATTAGAGATTAATGTACATAGATGATCAACCATCTATCTATCTATCTATCTATCTATCTATCTATCTATCTATCTATCTATCTATCTATCTATCTATCTATCTAATCTATCTATCTATCTATCAAATTTATATAGTTGCCCATCTCACAACAAGTTACTCTGGGCAGCGTACCTTTTAAAAGAAAGTGCCCATTATGGCTCATGTTTGGCCAGCTTAAAATTATTTCAAATACAAGATGTAATAGTTTACCAACAGAGAGGCTATTTTGCAGGCATTCAACGTAGGACACGGCTAGAGGCCTATTATGCTGTATTACTTGTCATTATGAAGACACATTTGTGTTAGGACTATGTAAAACTTTGAAAGGCTGCTTTGATTCAAGAAAGTATTGGTCAAATCACTGTACTGAAGCAGGTTTGCATGCTAAAGCATGGACTCACTTCAAAGCGCTTTGTAGGACTATGAAACATTTTGCAGATTTGATGTCTTTTCCATTGTTTCAGGGATTGTTGCAATGTTTTAATTAAACTATCACATATGGTCAATGTATAATGGTGTGGTGGACTTCCTGACATTTATTACAGCAGCCTGACAGTGAGATTTAAATTATACCTTATTAAATTCTAAGTTTAATAGAGCTGATTTACAGCAGGTCTCAAGGCTAACCTTGATATGGGTTCTCAGATCTCAGCTTCTTGTCTGTGGCCAGCTACAAGCCCTGAACTTTGTTCTTCTGCTACTGGAATGCAATACTTCTGTGCTGGTACTGCCAATATAACTAAGAGTTCAACTCACCTCTCACCATTCTTAGTAAGGGCTACATGACTGGGATAGTTTTAAGTCTCTCCTTAGTTAATGGGCACCAGGGTAATTCTAATAAGCACTGCCCCAAACTTTTACAACAAGGATAGTGCATCTATGAATTATTTTATATGCCAAACTTTTTCTCTGTGGCTTGCAAACTAGCACTCTGGAAAAGCAATAGAAAAATAAGTGTGTACCTTTTAACAGTGTTGAAAGTGCTTTGTCCCAGCAACTTTATATCTCTAGCATTTACACAGCCTGCATTCTGTCTGCTATCTCTATCTCAGTTCAATAGTTAAAAGTTCATGTCTTAAATACCCAGCCTCATTTTCTGAATTTCTTTCTCTTTCTTTCTTTCTTTCTTTCTTTCTTTCTTTCTTTCTTTCTTTCTTTCTTTCTTTCTTTCTTTCTTTCTTTCTTTCT